TAGAGGAGGTGCTGGTCTTCTGTGAAAGACCAGCATGTTAGTTGTGCTCCAGCGTGGTCATTCTTGTTATAGCCCCATAGGCTATGATGGCTATTGGAATAGCCAATGTAGATTGTAGGATGGCTTGGTGTTGGTAACACTGGACATGGCCATTCCATTGATGGTGGCTTGTACATGTTTATAACTGTCAGATCACCCATCTTGATGGCAGTTGAGTAGGGATTTGTGATAGGCATGATCTGGATGGAATCCTTAAGGTCATGTTTTATGTACATTGCGAGTCCATACTTGGGATGATGGCTTCCAGATACAAGGGCATATCAATTGATCATCAGTTGGTGGCTTGCACTCTCCAAGTGTGTTTCTTGTAGTGCAAGGACATTAGTGTTTTGAGTCTGCAGTATCGTTGTGATGTAATAATACTTTGCATTGGATAGTCCCTTGATATTGAACTGCATAATCTGCAGCAATGGGCCTATTGGAAGGGAGGTTTGGCTCTGACATAGGTGATTATTGCCATTGATTTTCTGACCTGGAGGTCCTTTAAGGATGTTTGGTCGCTGATTTGATGACATTGGTTGTGTTTTTGCACATAACGGGAGACCGCATGAAGGTTGTCATTTCCTCCCCCATGTGAGACACTTTGTGAACTGGTGCAGAACTTCATAATCCAGTTTGGCCTCATTTCCTCTTTTTAATACATCTTTTTCTATGTAGAACTGGCATTCTCAACCGCTGGTACACTGCACAGGAGGTGAATTGTTGTCTTTGATGGAATGGAAAGTACTGTAGTGAGCTGGCTTGCATCTGTCTGCACCAGTCCCCTGTATTGGCTGGAATTAGAATTGCTCAACTGCCTGTCATAGGCTCTATACTGCTAACCATATATGCAGATTCTCCTTTAACTCAAGAACTGTCTATTCTTCTAGAGCAGGAGATTCTAAGATTAGTCGTCTTGCAGTTCTTGAATAGGTGTGATATGCAGCATAATGACAGCTGTGGTGGACCATCATTTGTTAAATCTTAGAACCATAGGACTAGAAGGGACCGCAAGGATCATCTAGCCTAACGCCCAACCAAGATGCAGGATTTGTTGTGTCTAACCTGCTGCAATGACCCCTTTAAAAGGTGTGCGGTTTGACTTGCTCTTTCTGCTCGGAAGCAGGTTCTGGGGGGCACTTCCAACTGGCCTCTGCAGCCAAGAGTCCTGACTTGCTGTCGAGAGAATCACAGAGTTTAAGGTCAAAGGGACTGCCAGATTGTCTAGTCTGACCTCCTGTATTTCACAGGCCACCGACACACCCCAGCAACCGAAATGAGTCCAAAGTATCACAGCCCACAGGAGACTAGACTGTTCTGTGCCACCGGAAGAGAATAGGAGGGACTGAGATGCACCAGTGCCCAAATCCCCTGAATTAGCACAGAAATGATTGTGAGATTGTGACATTCTGTACCTTGGGGGAGGGTGCTATAACCCTCATATTCCTAATTTTCATATAATTGTGGTTTATGTATAAAGCATGCCTTGTAAGATATCAGGGGAAAGGTTATGATCTGCTGAAAGTCATTTCTCTATCCATATATGTGTATCATTAATCCATATGAAATTATGAGAATTGTGTAGTATGGTTGTCACTAAAACATGCTGTAAGTTGGGGGAATCAGCCAAATATTATCTCCACAGAGGCAACAGCAAGGAAGGTAATGGCTCAGTAATGCTCACCTGACTCTGAAGGGGGGGGGGGTGGCAAAGCCAAGAGGGGAAAAAAGGACATGATAAAAGGGAGAGAGATTTGCCATGCTGCTCCTCTCTCTTCCACCTACATCTACAGACACCACACCAAGCAACTGAAGCACTGATCAAAGGGGAGAGCCTGGCTGAAGAGCAACTAGTCAACCTGTGGTGAGAAACATCTAAGTTTGTAAGGGCATTGAAAGTATTAAGATCAGTTTAGAATGCATTTTGCTTTTATTTCATTTGACCAAATCTGACTTGTTAGACTTTAAGTGATTATAAGTCAAAACATATCTTTATAGTTAATAAATTTGTTTGTTTATTCTACCTGAAGCAGTGTTTGGTTTGAAGTGTGTCAGAGGCTCCCCTGGTGATAACAAGCCTGATACATATCAATTTCTTTGCTAAATTGACAAACTCATATAAGCTTGCCGCATCCAGCGGGCAGAACTGGACACTGCAAGACAGAGGTTCGTAGGGTTGTGTCTGGGACCGGAGGTATTCGCTAGTGTCATTTGGTTGCACAATCCAAGGAGCAGCTTACATGCCAGAGGCTGTGCGTGAACAGCCCAGGAGTGGGGGTTCTCACAGCAGAGCAGGGTAAGGCTGGCTCCCAGAGTCAAGGATTGGAGTGACCTAGCAGATCACTGGTCCAGATAACGACAGAGAAGAACGTCACAGAGATACACACAGATGATCCTGGCAAGTGACCCACAGCCACTGCAGAGGGAGGCAAACCGTTCATCCCCAGGGTTACTGCCAATCTGATCTGGGGGAAAATTCCTTTCTGACCCCACATATGGCAATCAGTTAGGCCCTGTCAAGGTTCCTCCCCCACTCTGAACTCTAGGGTACAGATGTGGGGACCTGCATGAAAAACCTCCTAAGCTTATCTTTACCAGCTTAGGTCAAAACTTCCCCAAGGTACAAAATATTCCACCCGTTGTCCTTGGATTGGCCGCTACCACCACCAAACTAATACTGGTTACTGGGGAAGAGCTGTTTGGACGCGTCTTTCCCCCCAAAATACTTCCCAAAACCTTGCACCCCACTTCCTGGACAAGGTTTGGTAAAAAGCCTCACCAATTTGCCTAGGTGACTACAGACCCAAACCCTTGGATCTGAGAACAATGAAAAAGCATTCAGTTTTCTTACAAGAAGACTTTTAATAAAAAAATAGAAGTAAATAGAAATAAAGAAATCCCCCCTGTAAAATCAGGATGGTAGATATCTTACAGGGTAATTAGATTCAAAAACATAGAGAACCCCTCTAGGCAAAACCTTAAGTTACAAAAAAGATACACAGACAGAAATAGTTATTCTATTCAGCACAATTCTTTTCTCAGCCATTTAAAGAAATCATAATCTAACACATACCTAGCTAGATTACTTACTAAAAGTTCTAAGACTCCATTCCTGGTCTATCCCCAGCAGAAACCAGCATATAGACAGACACACAGACCCTTTGTTTCTCTCCCTCCTCCCAGCTTTTGAAAGTATCTTGTCTCCTCATTGGTCATTTTGGTCAGGTGCCAGCGAGGTTACCTTTAGCTTCTTAACCCTTTACAGGTGAGAGGAGCTTTCCCCTGGCCAGGAGGGATTTCAAAGGGGTTTACCCTTCCCTTTATATTTATGACAGGCCCTGAGCATGTGAACAAGAACCTGCCAGTTCCGCACCTGAGAGAGACAATGCTCTGTATCACCACAGAGCCCTGGTCCACTCCTCTAATGTCTCATCTGCAGCCATGGCCATCCCTGATGGATGGATTCCTTCAAAGGAAGGGGAAAAAACCGTCTCCAAATACATTGTGGGAGAATCCTTTCCTGACCCCTCCAGATGGCCAGCTGAAAATCTGAAGCACGAGCTTTAGGAACATAAGCCATAAAGCAGAATTGAGCCCCAGGGCTTTTGAACCCTGCCCTGATCTGCACCATCACAAGCAACCCTGTCATACAACTGCTCTCATAAATTTATCCACAATTTCTATTGGGAGGCTGTTCCAGAAGCGCACCTCTCTGATGGTTAGAAACCTTCTTCTAATGTCCAGCCTGGATTTGTTCATGGCCAGTTTATAGCCATTTGGTTTTGTGCTAACATTGTCCTGTAGCTTAAATAGCCTTCACCCTCCCTGGTATTTACGCCGCTAATGTATTTTATACTGCACTCATATCACCTCTCAGCCTTCTTTTTGCTAGGCTAACCAAGCCAAGCTCTTCCAGTCTCCTCTCAGAAGACAGGCCCTCCATTCCCCTGATCATCCTAGTAGCTCTTCTCTGTACCTGCTCCAGTTTAAATTAATCTTTCTTGATCATGGGTGACCAGAACTGTACACATTATTGCAGATAAGGTCTTACAAGTGCCTTGTACAAAGGCATTAACACTTCTCTATCTCTACTGGAAATGCCTCATCTGATGCATTTTTCACACACAACACATCACACATTTTTCACACATCACATCGGTGGCTCATTGTCATCCTGTGATGGACCAGCACACCCAGGTCTCTCTCTTCCTGTGTCAATTCCAGTGGTTGAGCCCCCAGCTTGTAGCAGAAATTCTTCTTATTAGACCCCACAAGCATGACCTTGCAATTTGTACTATTGAAGGTCATCTCATTTCTGTATCTCTGATCAGTGTCATCCAGATTTTTCTGCATAATGTTCCAATCCTCCTCTGTGTTGACAATGTCTCCCAGCTTTGTGTCATCAGCTAATTTCATTAGCACACTCTTACTTTTTGTGCCAAGATCATTAATAAAAATATTGAATAAGATTGGGCCCAAGACCAGTCTTGTGGAAGCTCCACTAATAACCTCCCTCCAGTCCCTTTGTTTTATGGTGGTGGTGTTTTTTCAGGCTCACACTGGCAGAGACCTCACCTGAATTAGGGCTTCAGTCTTGCAACAGATGCATGAAATAGTGTCTTGTACTAATACTGTTTTGTATTTTAAAAAAAATTCATAGGCTTATAGTGTGTCCTCTACTTGATAGAATGGAACCAGGTGACTGTGTGGCATAGCCCTAATACTGCTAAAGGTAAAGGAGATTTTCCTTTAGCTGAAGCAGTAGCTGTCTGTGCTTTCTGAGCAGGAGGGTATGAATTCTAGCCCCACTGCTGCTGCAGCAATAGGGCATGTCTACACTGCAGTAAAAGACCTGCAGCTGGGGTTAATCATTCCAGGGAGAGGAAGTTAATTCTGTCCTGGACAGAAGGCTGCAGTATTGATGTTTCTTTTGTTTTTGCTGTGTGTTTGTTTTAAAACAGGAGAAAGCCACTCATCCTGGAGGCCTTGGGAATATCGTGGATGAGATTGGTGAGTTGGGCTGATCAGTGGGATCACAGAAGTCACAGAGCTCGCTGGAGTAATTTCGTCTGTCACGTGCAGAATGGCGCAACAGACCAAACACACTTAGCTTTGCTTTCTGCAGCACAGTGATTTCTGTGGATTGTGATTTCTTCTTAGTTAACTCCCGGAGTCCTGGGTTCAGGTCTAGTGTATAACCTGCTAACCAAATGGAGATTTCCCTGGAGAGAAAGTAAATCCAGAGGGAGGAAATGCAAGAATTTGAGTGTAGGGGAGTCCTGGCTGCGTTAGCGTAGTTGGGGTGTGCTAAGGGAAGGAGCATTCACCGTCTGGATGTAGTGACTCCAGAAAGTGGTAGATTGAAGTGGGAATCCTAAAACTAAGTCTGGGCTTCCTCTTCCCCCATTTAATGCCATTCATCACACTGCACCCAGCTGCAGCCATCCTAGCCATTCAGCTGGTCTGAGCCTGCAGTCAGCCACTAGTCAGCACTATTATTATGGAGTAAGCACTATCCATTGGAGTTCCTTTTTCACCTGATTCCAGTGTTCTCCTGATACCTCTCTGGGGAGTCCCTAGGGTCCGCCCCTAGACTTAACTTACTTCTTTAGTGCCCTGGAAACATTCTTAAATGTAAACCCTTCCAGTGCCATTGCTAACCTGTTGGGTTGCAATCCTTGACAGTAAAGCTCCAAGTATAATAGACCATGTGTTACCTGCTTCAGATGAATGGATCTGATCCGTTATGGAACCACTATGAGACCTCTGAGACCTTGTCCACTTGGTTCCCCAAGATCTTTGTTTGACACCGGTCTCATCACTCAGGGTCCTTTATTTGGCATACCTCAAAGCTATGCTGAGTTGATCAGACTGAGATGTGGGGGTGGGCACAGGCTATACCACACATCCAAAGTTATACAGAAACTCCCTTCCGTTATATATGTTATATTCACTATATATTGCATTACTCTGCAGGAACCAATCCCTTTATAGCAAGCTCTGCCCACGTGCTGTCCATATTCAACTTTACTCTTTACATCATCTTTACACTCCTGACTTCTCTTCTCCATTGTTCTCTTGTTCTTAGTAGATGATTCCCAGGGTGTTCTCCCTCTTATCTTAGCTAGCTCAGACATTCTGTTTCCAGCCTGCTTATCCATTTACCTACCTAATCCTGTCTCCCAAGATATAAGGCCTCCTCCATGTTTAATTACTCATGTCAAGCCAGTTCTACATAGGGGTATGGGATTATGTAAAGCCCCTGACACATGATTCTGTCAATCCAGGATGTGAGAGTGCTTTCCCCATATGGTACGTGTGTGCTTTACATGATTCGTGTCATTCATTTTATCAAATTTCATCAAATTACCCTCTCCCCTTACAAATCAGCTCTCATTTCAGATGCAGAATTCCACTACACCCCAGCCCGTTAGTGTTCGCAAAGCTGGGAAACAGTTTTGCATGATCTAGCTGAATTCTGGAGCTGGTCAAAAAATGCCAGTAACTTTTTTACTTGAAATTTTGAGGGTTTTTTGTTTTCATCAAACGTCTCTTGAGAATTTTTCAACCAAAATGATACACCAAAAACCATTTTCAGATAAAATGTACAGTTTCCAAAATCTGAAAATCATTCAGTAAAAATGTTCAGGTTTGGGTTTCCATTTTTTTCCCATGAAAAACCAGAATAGTTTGTTGAAAATAATTTTTTCCACACAAAAATTGTTTTTGACCAAAAGTCTCATTTGTCAGAATTATGTCTTGCCAGAAAAATGTCTTCCAGCTTTATCAAATACACCTCTTTGGCATTGTGTGTTTGCGGTCAGCTGCACATACACGCGTTTGACTGTGAATAGGTGCGTCATACCACGAGTGACCTGGATGGCCAGTTTCGAAGCTTAGATAGTCAGTACCAATACTAGACACAACATAAATGCTCCATAGATGGCCATTCATTCATTTGTGACATCGGTTGAATGCTGGTGAACGATGCACCAGGGCTTCACAGAAAAAGCCCAGATCTGCCGAATTATGCATCCAGGGAATGTTATTCAATTAGCTCTCTACAGAAGTTTGTACTCTACATGTTGAAGAAAAGGAACCCACAGCGTTTCCTCCTCTGCTCATTATTTTTGGTTTTGGCCATATCCCTCATCTTGGTCTGTCTTGTGCCGTTCAGGCACAGCCCTGCATTGGGGGTGGCATAGCCCTAAATGGAGCTCCTGGAAACAAGTTCAAGTGCTTCCCTTAGCTCTGGGGAGTGAAGGGTAAGCACAGTCCTTGCTGCACCTGCTGAAAGGGTGTGATGTGCTCCCTCTACCTGGTGTAAGACCAGCTGTCCTGGCCAAAGTGGCACAGGAGAGGGGACAGATCCATAGCTCCCACCCACTTTTGGAGACCAGTGCCACTGTAGGGTCTAGTCGTGTGCTCTAGGAGCACAAGGACTATTATTTTGCCAAGAACCCTCTAATGCTGCCTTACGTAGCTCCATGGGGCTGGTCACAGTCCTGTCCTTAGAGACCCCTCCTTGATGTTGGAGGAATGAGAGTGCTATTGTGCTGCTGGAGTGTAATGCTCTCCAAAAGGTCACTGTATTCAGTCACTAAATACAGCACCAAAAATAAATGCTGAATTAAAAAGTTTTGAAATGATAAAGGCATTTCCAACTAAAGGAAACCTCAGGGATGTTTTATAGGCTTGCAGGAGCTTTGTGTCAGATGCAGGACTCATAAGCACCAGGGAAGACAGAAGTTCAAGTCCTAGCCTCCATCAATGGTTAACCTGATCAAGAGCTGGTACTGCAAGGCAGTCTCAGAGCTTATCAAAGAGAGAGAGAGCGAGATCTTTTTCTGTGTCCTGCTTCCAGAACAAGCTGTACAGGAGCAGCATACACAGAGTTGTATGTGAGAAGACTGCACTAGCCCATCCCCAGGAGCCACTGTGAGGGTCAATGATAAAGACAATTCATCCTGGATTTGCTTTTGGCTTAGTGATCTTTGGCTCTTCAGATAAGCTTTTTCTTTGCTCTTCTGGATTTTCCATTTCTGCTAAGCTCGGCCAATTCTTTCTGTGTGAACGGCAGAAAGGAGACAAAGCTTCTAAAAGAATGACTGCCTGCAAGGGAGCTCACAGCAGCATGGATGTTCCTGCAGCCCCACCAGGCATTACAGTAGGCAGCGGTGGGTAACCGAGGAAATGGAGATCAATTGAAGGTTGGGCACTGGCAGAACATACAGTGCAGTCTGTCATCCATCCCATATGTACAGCATATAATGCATTCTCTTCATGGTTAGGGAGGATACCTAAGGCCGTATTGGATGGCCTACTCCAAGTGGGATGAGCTTCTGGCATAGTTCCTGCCAATACCTGCTAGGGCTGGAATAGAAAACTTGAGGAGGGGACCATTTTCTACCTCCTATGGGACAGTGAATACAGCTAATTATCAATGACTCTAGCTGGTTACTATGCCAAGAAACATGTCACTTGACTCTGATCATTCATTCTGCTGACTGGCTTTTCTTTAAAAAAAACAAGTTCTCCTTTCTCAGGGCAAGTCAACACTAACGCACTACATCAGTGCAGCTGCACTGCGTCTGGTGAAGGCATGCTATGCCGATGGGATAATCTCCCATTGGCATAATTATTCCAGCTCCATGAGAGGTGGAAGTGATATTGGTGGGAGAGTCTCTCTCGCTGACATAGCGTTGTTGTGGACAGCGTTTAAACCAATGTAACTTACATCTTTCTGGGGGGTGTCTTTTTCACACCCCTGAGCAATGTAAGTTACATTGACTTCAGTGGTAGTATAGACCAGCCCTTAGTAATACCAGTGTAAAGCTAGAGCCACCCCAACAAACTGACTCTGGATTTACAGCAGTGTAGCCGAGGTCTAACTCTGGCACAGAGTCAGTATTACATAGTAGTACACCATGGTGTATGTGTTGTGTCCAATTCTATAGTAGTCGGTGTTCTGTATGAAATATGCTGCACTATATTATATAGATTCTTCTCTACCATGAGAAGACTATACTTTTAAGGCAAACCGAAAAAGAAAAAGCAATGTGGCTGTGTGCCTTCATAGAGATATGGTGGAAGCACAACTGAAACCAAATAATAATAAAGATGGAGAACTGGAGATAGATAATGACATCTGAAGAGGGTCAGACTTCATCTGCAGTTTTCCTACCCCTTAAAATGGCTCAGCTGTTGTTTGGGTCTCCAGGGTGGACGGAGTCAAATTCTGCTACTCTATGCCAGTTTAGACCCCCCCTATGCTAGCGCACAGTATCTAAAATGGTTTATAATAGGATTTGGCCTCATCCATGTTTTTAAATCATTTTAGCTGCAGTTATATTTAAATTGCTTGTTAAAATGGTTCAGTAAAATCTATTTAAATAACACTGTACACTTCTCTAGCACCTTCTTCCGCTGGTGTCCAAGTTCTTTACAAACATTAAGGAATCAATCCTCACATTCCCCTATGAAATAGAATTATCCCCATTTTACAATTAAGGAATTTGACCCCAGAGAGATTATATGACTTGCCTAAGGTTACAGGCAGGGTGGGACTAGAACTCAGTATTCCTGACTCCCTGGCCTGTGTTTTAGCCACAAGGGTATGCCCCTCCCCATTTGAGGGCTAGTGTAGGCAGGGCATAAGAGTTGAAAGACACACATGCAGCCAGTGTTTGCCTTCTGTTTCACTCAGCAGAATTCTGAGATTCTACCTTTATCTCCCCCTGCACCCACAGACACTATAAATCCCTCATGATCCTGAGTTGTAGGATCCTTACAACTGAAGAGGGCTGAATGGGCTACTACTACTAAAAACCCCAGTGGGTTGCTGTTAATTATCAAGAGTCCCCATCTCTGTCCTCCTGACCCTGCAAGCCTGCTGAACAAGAAGGCAGGTTGACTCAGACCAAGATCTCATGTTTAGAAGCATGGAATGCTGCCATCACCTGCCAAGCTAGTGAGTGCACCTCAGTTCTGAGTGGAAGGGGTCAGATCTGTTCCCCAGCCCTTCAGTGGAAGGTAATTTCAATTGCCGAAGTAACCCTCCTGAAACATGTGAAACACCTACCCACTGATTTATTAATACAGCCTATTTCCTGAGAGTTACATATCCCAATAGCTACAAGGTAAGGGAAAGATGTGGGACTGCTGGGCACACTGCACAGGTACCGAGGCCTGGTTAATAACACCAATCCATATCAGTCACCTCATGGGAAGGCATCCTTCTGGAATCCACTCTCCCAAAATATGATTTGGACATGAGTCCCCGCGCACAAGGCTGGGACTGAACTGAGTGCAGGGATGTGCTTAGGACTGACTGGATGGGGGCCAGGGAATAGTCAGAAGTGCTGGGAACTTGGGCTGTTTGCCTTAAGGACATAGTAAACAGGAGTTACAGAAAGTAAATGCAAATATTCCATTCTACGGGGACTAATAGCAAGGAACTCTGAGTCCCTTCCACCTAGTAGCACTTAAATCAAAGACCTTGCAGTGCTTCCCAAACAGAGTCCAGGATAGCCCTGGTGTTCTGACCAGCACTGAAATAAGTGCTAATGTCCAGGCAGTGGGTAAGCTATGGTTGAACATATGGGCTCAGACTTGCAAGGCAGCCTAGAAGATTTGGACACCCAGTCAGCACTAGAAGTAACAGGAATTGAGCATCCACATGCAATGACTGGCTTTGAAAATCTGAGCCATAATGGCTGGCTGTTTGCAGGTATGTGCACTAGCAGGGCTTGCTTCGGATTTGTTGCACCAGTGTAAATGCAGAGCCAGCACACTAAGGTCAGTTACACTGGTGTAAATCCAGAGTTATGCCACTATGGTCAGAACTGAGGCACTGGTGTTGAAGTCATGGCTCTGAGACTCAGTAAGAACTAGGGCAAATGTCAAAGAAAATCTCCCCTTTAGGAGCTGGAAACAATACTCTCAGCTAATCAAAGTGTGCACAGTGGAGCTCTCCTCTAGGGCTGTCCAGCAAAATTTTTCCCCCGGGTATTTTTTCTCCTCTTCCTGCTGATGTGAATTGTCTTCCTGCCACATATTTGTTTTTGCAGGTCTGAAATGACTGTTTAGTCTAAGGCTGATAAAATCTAGAGGGGCTTCTGTTAAGTGTTTCCTGTTAGCCCATTGGCCTTCCTATAGCTCCATCCACTCGGCTGAGCTAAAGAGGGCAGGTAAAGTACTTCCTGCTTGTAACTCACCCATGTGCTGTAGAGACAATACCACATAAATCAGATACATACCTCTGTGGAGCTAGGGCTAGAACCCTGCTTCTTCCATTCCAAACTGTTATCACTCGAGCTGAAAGCTGCAGTAGATCCTGTCTCCTTTCTGTTGGCCAACCACTGAAGGGCAGCATCCTGGGATCTCTTCTCTCGTGGTCTGTGAGCAACTGTAGCCTGCTCTGAGCCACTTCAACAGGACACAGAGAGATGCCTGTGGATCAGTGAGCCCACAAGAATGGCCATTTGGAGCCTCCCCTAAAAGCCCCGTGAGTTGGGTTTACGTGGGGGTGTGGTGGGGGTGTCACCATTTAATCTGGAGTATTGAGGGTGGGGTGTTCACGAGGAAGTCATATGTTGATAAATTAAAATCAACGTTATTAACTATTTCACAGCTGGTCATTTTAGCAGAAACATCTACCCTGGTGCTATGGGGGAGGAGTCTGGGGTTGTGGGTGAAGCTTGAATAAAGTAACTGTATTCCCCTGCAGCTCCAGTCTGCCCCGTGGCAGTTTCACACAGATGGAAGCAATGCGACGCCAGTGGAGTTACACCAGGGATCAGTCTGGTCAAGAACGTGGACTTGCTCTCTCCCTCTGCTTACATAAGACTCATGAACCATATTGCACTCAGCAGCAGGTGGAACTAGGGTATTACATTTTGGCTGCAGATGGGAGTGGGTTTATACTGTTATTTAGGCTCAAGAACCTTTCAGAGGCTTCTTGAATAGACTTGGTGAACAGTGGGGACTTTACTGGTGACCACAGCCAAGTCTGAGATAGGGCGCTCTTGGCAATGGTCATAGGAGTTCTTTCTACCAGTGGTCAGAGCACAATTCAGGACAGCTTTCTCAGAAGCCCAGCTGCCCATTCTTCCTTGCCAGAATTGACCTAAATTGCCCCCTGAAGGCATTTCAGAGCATGGGGAGAATGTGTGTAAGTGGCACTGACAGTGACACATTATATTGCCCTGCAATATAGGACTGCGGGGAAGAGAGATGGGGCCATGAAGGATTCCCCTCAGATTCCTGCACCTGCCCAGATATGTCACTGCTTTGCCCCCACCTGCCCAGACTTGCAGGGGGGCTCTCAGAGAGGGATGGCAGATGATGCCATATACCACCCTATTTTGGGGCACGAGGAGTTTGCATTTCTCTTCCCTTCGGGGTGGTTTGTAAGAAGGCCTGTTAGGTACTCAGACCAACACAGGTCTGAGGGGTAACTGGCTGCAGGCTGTCTGAACTCGCAGCCCAACCACAGCAGGCACTGGTGGAGGCTGATGGGAGGGTGACCCAGAGCAGCTGTGTAAAGATTAAAGGGAGCCACTTCAGACATCTGCTTGTTCACTTCAAAGGCTGTAAATGGATTAAACCAATCTCCAGTTAGATCCCCCACACTGAGCAGGAGAACGCTTTGAGCCATCCACTCACTCAGAGCCTCCGATGCCCCTTTGCCCGGGGAAAACCAGGCCAAGCACAAGCAGCAGCAAGAGCCATCGTGTTTGTTAGTGACCAGAAAAAGAAGAACTTAGAATCATAGAATATCAGGGTTGGAAGGGACCTCAGGAGATCATCTAGTCCAACCCCCTGCTCAGAGCAGGACCGATCCCCGACTAAATCATCCCAGCCAGGGCTTTGTCAAGCCTGACCTTAAAAACCTCTAAGGAAGGAGATTCCACCACCTCCCTAGGTAACGCATTCCAGTGTTTCACCACCCTCCTAGTGAAAAAGTTTTTCCTAATATCCAACCTAAACCTCCCCCATTGCAACTTGAGACCATTGCTCCTTGTACTTCCTTGGCTCAATGACCATGATTGTTTCACCTGACTCAAAATGGAACCATCAGGCCCTTTGGGAGATAGGCTGGAGCTGGAAGCACAGCTGGTTTCACAGCAGTCTGTGTAGGGCCTTGAATTTCTAACTACTGACTCTGCTGCCCCAGGCACTAACCAAGTCTGTCTTGCTGCCAGAACTCAGGACCACGGAAACCTTTCAGTTAAAGCCAGGCCGTGAAGGCTACTCTTGAGGGGGTAGGCCTGTTGTGGCAGGGGGCCAGATGAACCAACGGATTCCTTCCAGCTTTCATGTCTGTGGTCTCTGTGAGCCAGCACCATGCCAACGTGGGGCGCATTATGCCTTCAGAAGGCACAGCACATGGCAGGAGTGCTGGGGGTGCCTACAGCAGCTGCTTTAGCTATTTTACAGTGCTCTCCCCAGCACTCATGCTAGTGCCCCAGCACATCCCCCCTTGGCCAGTTAGTGCTTGCCAGACTGGTCCCCCTTCCTCCCACCCCCAGCACTTCCAGAACACTAGTAACCAAATTACACTTGCCATCTGCAAATGTGCTCTGGGAGGGGGAGGAGAGAAGGGGTCCCCTTTGCCCATTCCCCCCTCAAGGGCACCTGCCTAGGAGCATGCATAAAATGGAGACCTGGGTGTATAGCTGTGATCCCCAGAGGCATTGCTCAGAGGGCAATCCAGCTGTTGCCATACATGCCTGTTCACTCTGATCTACTCGCAGTCTACCCCACTCTGATCTACTCCCCCACTCTGCTCACGGGGGAGTTCCCTCATTCTGAGTAATTCTCACTTAGTAAGAGCCGCTCTGTCCAGCCCTACCCTGCTGCTGAATGGGGCTTGCCAGCTGACATGGCATATAATGGGAAAACTTGTAGCTGACGCACCCATCTGCTCAGCAGCAAGTTGGGCACCATTTCCACAGCCCTTGGTACTGAGTCAGCTTGGGGAGTCGTTTGCAAGGGCATCTGTAACTAGCTCTGGGGAGGCAGTGCCTGGAGAACAGACTACACGTTGCAGGAGGAAAAGAAGCAGAGCTGTGCACTGGGCACTGGGCTTGTTCCAGTGAAGGCAAAGCTGAAATCAGCACTAAACGCCAGTGCTGGGAGCTAGGAGTCGCCAGCCGGGGGTGGGGGGGGGGGTGGGGGTCTGGAGAACAGCAGGAAAGAGGTAACAAAGCTGCAACTGATCTTGGAAAGACCAGTCCAGTCCCCAGAGCTGTGGTTCTTTTCCAGCTCCTTCATTCACAGCCCCACCTCCCTGCCCCATGGTAAAATATCTCATTCCATGGGATACCAGGAGCCACTGCCCCCTGGCTGCCTGCATGTAGGTAACTGTCACTGTTAATGACTTGTTGGGCACAAAGAAGTGCTGCACAAGACAGAAGGGCCAGACCCTCCTTTAAGGAGCTATGTAACGGATCGTCAGAAATGCTAAGTACCCATAACTCCAGCTAAAGCCATGGGGAGCTGTGGATGCTCAGCACCTCAGAGTGTCAGGGACCAGTGGAAACTCTAATTCTGCCGTGCTGTAGAGGAAGTTTTGAAAAGTTATTGGGGGGGGAGGATAAGACCCCCCCAAGACCAGTGGTGGATTAGCCACCGGGCTAATTGAGGCTTATGTCCAGGGGCCCTGGCAAAAATCTGCCAAACTGCGGTGGAAGCCTGAAGCCCTGGCAGAAGCGCCAGATGGGCAGACAGGGCACGGGAAACCCCTGTGCCCTGACCCTGCTCCCTGGCAGAAGCACTGGGTGGTGGGGGAAGCCCCAGCACTCGAACCCGCCTGTGGCCCTGGGACTGGAGTAGCTCTCACTCCACACTGCAGCCCAGGGCCATGGTGGGGAGACAGACCTTCTCTGGTCTTGGGGGTGCAGAAAGGAGCAAACGGGTTGCAGGGCCACATTGGGGGCAGAATGGGACAGGATCTTGGGTGGAACAGGTGCAGGGCCACGGGGGGGAGGGGCAGAACAGGGATGGGACCACAGGTGAAAGAGGTGGGGAGGGGCCCACAAAACCTTAATCCAACTCTGCCCAAGACATCATTTACTTTCTTTCAATCTAGGGGGAAATTGAAATTTTGAAAATTCAAGATTTTTAAAAATATTCTGTGAAAACTGATGGAAACAATTTGGCAGTTTTTCATGAAATTATAAATGTTTTTGCCCAGTATCCGAATGGCTGGTTTCCCTCTCCCGTCAGAATGCTGACAGAGGCATGCCCTAGTTTTTCCTCTTTCCAGACTCTTTCTGCTTCCTGCTGCCGTTTGCACCATGCACGAGACTGACTCACTTTCACTGGCTTCTCTGACAGCTCCAGTTCCCAATGTGTGCAGTGGCAGCTTGCAGAAGTAGTGACATCACAGCCTTCCTGAAAAAACCCTGGAGTAAAATGAAGAAGAGAAGGCTCTCCCTGAGCATGGCAGAGAGGGGGATGCTGCACATTTGACATTGCATTTACTTTTTTTTTTTTAAGGCAAAAACCCAATCTTCTCCGGGAGGCTAGGTCAGATATATTTGCTATTTCTTGAGACTAAACTTCCCAATATGTTTGTACAGCAGCATACTTAATCCATTCTGAAATTCAGTCGCTGCAGGCTGACTGATTGCTTCAGTGGAAGCCCTGTTTCCTGTTCCTCAAAGAGGGCAGCTTCTCCCAGGCTCCCTGTGGCTGGTTCAGTGCTCAGCACTGGCAGGAGAGAGCAACGTTTACAATAAGAAAAGCTACTGTCTCCAGAAACTCTCATTTATTTGGCCTGGTCAGTTTCCTTTTGATGTTTGGAGTGAAACTCCCCCTGTACAATCTGTGTTGTTCCACAATAGGTCCCTTTGCTCTCTGCAATCCTGTGACTGTAAGGCCTGATGGTGCTGGTTCCTGTCTGAACATTGATCTCTTATGGCAATCGAGAGGTCTCTAGCTAGCAAGCTGCAGTATCTGTTTTCTTTTTTGTGCAAGCTGCTCTGGACCGTGTTGTTTAGCATTGGCTACTTTGGCACTCCGAGAGCTGGGCCTCTGAGTGTAAGCTATTGGGGATCAGATTTTTTTTCTCTGTTACACCACCAAAAATCCAGAACAACTCCATTGCAGAAAATGGTCTAGTTTTATACTGATGTAACCAAGATCAGAATCTGGCTCTGGTGCATTGCAGCCATCATGCATTCAGATGTACCACTGCTTGCCACCCTTTGCTGATGGATTTGCCACAGCCATGGGCTCCCCATACAGCTCTGCCGGTACCCCTTACTCCCAGCCTGCAGCCCCCTGCTAGCCCAGCCCTTGACTCCCAGCAGCAGTTGAATGACGTGCTGCCAGTGTTCTGCTGGAATCTTGGCACTTCAGTAGGAACAGGCCTGGTACGTAGGGGTGCACAGTAGGTGTGTGTTGCCTCAGGAACTTGGGCCACTTCAGTGAGGTATATCTCAGGTGATGCTGAAAGCAAGTTACTCGAACCATCAGGCATAGGCACCAACTCCGTGGGTGCTCCAGGGCTGCTTAGCACCCATCAGCAGCCAACTGCCCCTCCTCCCCCTCCCTCCCAGTGCCTCCTTCCTGCTGTGATCAGCTGTTCCGTGGCCTGCAGAAGGTGCTGGGGGGAGGGGGAAGAGTGGGGACGGGGCACACTCGGGAGGAGGGGGCAAAACTGGGTGGGAAGAGTCGGGGCAGGGGTGGAGCAGGGGCAAGAAGAGGCAGGGTGGGCCTGGGTGCTAGGAGGAAAGGGTAGAGTGCGGGCTGGGGCTGAGCGGGCCTTGAGTACCCCCCGGGCAAGGTGGTGCCTATGGTTCAAGGAGTACAATAATCCCCTTCAGATGCGTGGCCAGAGTGCTCTTATTGCTTTAATGAAATGGGATTTTACAGACACATAAGGAACCAGTTAGCCATGGGCGTGTCACATAGGATCTAGTCCTGGGCAGAGAGCCAAAGCCACTTCCTGTTGCCTAAATGGAGTGGCCGTAAACGGGAACAGAAATCAGTAGGCAGCAAGGCTTTATTTAGCCTCCACTTCCAACAGACTCACCCTCCGTAGGGTACTTGGAAGCCAGGGGTTTGCATAGTACAGTAAATTAAACTCTGTGTTGTGTAGGAATCTGACTGAGCTAGGAGTCAGAGGGCAGACGCCCTGTGGGAGGAACTTACCGCCAACTACCCCAGGCCTGATGCCCACTGCTGCTGCCCAGTAGAAACAGTTCAACAGCAGTTTCAGCCCCTGACTGCAGTGCAAAGGCCAGGCCCAGGGAGACACTGGCATCCCCACCCCTTCATTCTAGAGCTGCTGTCAGTCCTTTATATCCTTGACCATTTCTCTGCCCTACAACAATCCGTCAGGTGTTGCCTTCCCTAAGAGCAGCACTGATAGTGCTGTATGTCCACTGGCCAGCAGGAGGTGCTCTTGAAACAGCAGGTCCCACCTCTCACTCTGCCCAAATTGTATCTGTGTCAGCTGGTTTTCAGGGTGCAAGTCCCTAAGTTGTTCCTGAATCCAGCACTGCTGAGTGGCAGAGAGCTGCAGAGCCTGGATCCACTGTGTGCATCTATTTCACTGAGGAAGTACAAAGTTCCCTGGGTGCTGCTGGGCCTTAGCTCTAGCTGGGATGTTAGATTCCTATTAGAGCTGTCACTCCAAGTCAGAGATCCTGCTATTGCTCTGTAAGGAGTCATTAGCCTGGAATCCTGATGTGGGGAAATGGTCCACATGGGAGCATTTCCTAACTTCCCCAATGGACACAGCACCCCCTGCATAAGCCATGCCCAGTGCTCCACTCGGGTCAGGGGAGTTACAGAAGGGATGAACTTAGCTCACGGTATAGTTTATCCTCAAATCGGTCAGCCTTAGACTTACCCCCAGAGCCAGGCAGTAAAAAAATAACAGGTCCCAATTCGGAGCCCTCTCATCCAGAGGGTGGGGAGGAGGAAAACCAAAGTAGGTAAGTAGAGAAAAGTTCCTCAGGACTCCATCTGGAATGGGCGCAGCTGGGGAGAGATGAAAGACAACTGGGCATCAGCAATTCATTCTCCCGGGACAACAGACTCCAGTGCCCCTCAGTGCAATCATGGGCGGTCAGCAGCGCTAGCCTGGATGGGCTGCTCTAAAGCACTCTGAGTACTGTGAGGTCTGTGTTGCCATAGCAATGTCTCCATGGGACATGTGACAGAAAGTTCCTGTAAAGGGGACGGTATTCCATAGTGATGGGCAGCGGGGAGCCTTGTTCCAGAGGCAGAAGCCTGAACCTGGCATTGTCATTGTATTACAGTCCTGGTCTTGGCTCCTGGGACTCAGTCATCAGCAGGGTCATGTTGTGCTGCTAGGTGTTCTACATACAACTGGGACTCAAGTGGCACATGAGGCTTCCAGTGCAGGGTAACCTGCTCCCCTTAATGAGTAGTCACCAAGTGCTAAGAAGGACTCC